GCTAGTTTGGCCGATGAGGATGGTGCACATGGTGTGGTCTGCGAAGACGTCTGCCCCGTCGTTTGTTCGATTCGTCAAATAATAAGTTAGTGAAGGTTGCGTCAAGAGAACACCAACTTACGCCTCATAACAAGCTCGGTGGGTTCGCAACACGGAGGGTTTGATGTGCTAGAACGGACTTTCTGGCCTTGGTCAGCCCACTACATCTAGAAAGAAGTTGTCGTTGCATTTCCATACCAGCTGACCGTTCCACGACTCCGAATTCCTTTGGTGAATTACAAGTTCCCATATCTACATATGGTCTGTCAATCCCAACCACCCGGTCTGTTTTCAAGGCTTGGGTTATTCGTATGCTCACCATGGCGGTAGACAACGCCCATACAATCATAATTATGACAAGAAGCATGACTGAAATCTGGGGGTATGATCCTGTATACTTTCACCAGCTGTTGTCCTTGATGGAGTGGAGCAAGGAACAATCGAGGAAGAAGTTCATGCTCTCCATATATGTTGCCCAGTTTGCTCATTTGGCAGATGCGCAGTCTACACCGTCTATCATTTTGAAAGGAGATCAGGTTCTGTTGCGTGAGATGCGATCAGTATGTCCACACTTTTTGCACTCTGGTCAGTCTGGTCGATATCCCGACAACCCCATTTTTGGTAGGGTTGGATTGGATATAGGTGTTGTTGTCGCGGTGGAATGCTGCTGGCGGGACGAATTCTCATTGGTCAAATCCGCGCGGAGAAATTAATGCCCAGCACGGCCATGCTCGACATTGAATATTTGAAACTGGAGGCATCGGAGGCTGAGCAAATTATCAACCTGCTGACCTGGTTTTGATGAGCGATCCCTTAGAGTGGGCAATATATTCAATCTTGGCGCGCCTGTTGATTTTGTATGTGTCTCGTGGAGTTACCAAATGCCGGTTGTGCCGGACACGCGGGAGTAGCTAGTGGGTCATGTTATATGTATCATTGACCATTCATGTACGAAAAGTGTAGACCATTGATCCGCATAATTATCAATCGCGGGCGACGAGGCTCATTTTTGTAGTGACTCAGGGTAATAGTATATTCAAATGCCAGTACACTCATGTGTTGATCTCGTTGCCTTGCGTCCTACGCCCAAAGGTCGAAACCCGAGGGCAAAAATATTCGTTCGGCGCGCATTCGGGGTCCCCAGGCGGGCTTCAAGTGGAACCCCTGGACAGCTTCCTCATAAAAACTAGTCCCGGGCCTACCCGAGCACCAGCAAATGTTGATGGCCCAGGACAACAACAATCGATCAGAGAGGGACTGATCAAAAGGCGGTGAGGTGAAATGGCGCGCCCGCCTGGGCAATCTTTCTCTGAACAGATCAATGCCCGCAGAAATTGCCATGGCACGCACGGGGAGAAGACGGCATTGCCAATTATTTGACCGTGTCTACTCGGTGATTCCTTTATCATCTTCCCCCATCTCTCGCCATCTTTTGACCATATCTTCACCATTCCTTGCCTCTTTACCTCATCTCCCTCACTTGCCCCCTTTGTCCTTTTTTTTTTTTTTTTTCTTTTTCTTTTTCCCTTTTTGTGACCCGCTTCATTTGCCCTACCCCTGGTCTGCAGGTCATCCAGCTCTTCACTGGGTCTCCCATTGACCGCGATCAGGCACCTCAAAAGGCGATCATCACATTATGAAAGACGCATGGTCGCATGCAGCCTGGTCAATCCCTCTTCAGCGTGGAGCTGAGTTATGCTGCGCCAAAGGCAAAGCAGGGTTGGGGATTCAGATCTTGCTGCGCGGTGAGAACGCGGTGAGAACCCCTCGAACTGATCGGGCAATATGTGTGTCATAAATGACCTCCGAGCACCAGCGGGGAATTATGCGTCAGCCCAACACAACACAACCCTAATGGGGTTGTGTAAGATACTCTCAGTCTAATACACCTGCGACTTCTGGAGACAGTACAGAGAACAGCTCTTATCCGAATCCTTTCAGCCTTCTGGACAGTATCTACGACCGCACTAGAAGTTGAGTCCTATACTCTGCCAACTCACTTGCGACTCAAACAGCGGGGACAGATTGTGTCTGCTCGCCTCAGCACCCTGCCAGATGACCACCTGGTTCACAAAGTAATGGGCCGAGCAAAAGGAACGCAGCACCTGTACCCGCAGGGGGGCCCGCTTTCCCCTAGCCGAAACACTACGAACCATGAACCTGGGGCGGTTGCAAGCCTTAGAAATAATTGACCCTAAACCACGTGCGGCATGGCGGAACCAGCCCATTGCGGAAATCGCGATCGAACCTGATCGGGAGAAAGCGCAGGCCAACGCGCGGGTGCAACAATCCTCAACCAGTATCACGGTCTTCTCTGATGCTTCAGGAAAAGGGAATAAACTAGGGGCCGCAGCAGTAGCTCTTGCTCACAACCAGCAGATAACAGGGTCTCAACTGATCAGTATCGGCTCAATGGAATAATGGTCGGTCTACGCAGCCGAGCTCATGGCAATCTTCTACGCCATCGGCCTGGTCCTTCAAGTAGCCCAGAAAAGGCAAGGCCGTTTAGACAGAGTGAAACAACCCGCAACCATTTTAAGCGACAGCATGTCAGCGCTACAAGCAATTCGTAACCCGTCCAACAAGTCCGGCCGGCGAATCATCCGAGTTATCCTGCAGACAGCCTCCGAAATGACAGCGCGAGGGATTCCCATTCGCCTCCAATGGGTGCCGGGGCATTGTGACGACCCTGGAAACGACGAGGCCGACCGACTGGCAAAGGAAGCGGTCGGCCCGAAGAAAATGCACCCCTTTCAGCCCCTTCTCTCGCGAGAAATTGACTTCATCCGGAAGAGAATACTAAACGAGTGGAAGGATGAGTGGACTAAATCTACAAAGGGAAGGCACCTCCGCCAGATCACAGAACCCTGCCGGCAATCCGTATCCGAAGACTGTACGGATCGCTCCCTCGGAATCGAGCATATCTGCTTGCACAACTTCGGATGGGTCACTCTTGGCTGGCAACATACCGGAAACAACGCGGTTTCCAGGTCGACGACAGGTGTGTCTGTGGAGCTCGCGAGACGGTAGTCCACGTACTGGTGGACTGGCCGAAATTCAGATACCTGCGACAACAACTGCGGAGGAAGATTGGACCTGCGTTTAGCAGCATCTCAAACATGCTAGGAGGGCAACAAGGTAAGGAAGGTAAGGCACAAGACGCTGAACAAGACCACAACACCCTCGGGGCTGTTCTGGACTTTGCAGAAGCGTCGCAGAGGTTTCGAAGCCGCGCGCAGAACAGAACACCAGGCAACTAGGCCAACATAGGCCTTGACCAGGCTCCAAATCCGTCAGAAAAGTAATGGTTTAATGTATATAAGGAATATATCGGGAGAGGTAAATAGGGAGATCCTGCATATCGCTTTTATTTGCGAGGGGTCAGACTATGAAAAACACACACACACACACACACACACACACACTCTCTCTCTCTCTCTCTCTCTCTCACGCACACGCACACACGGTATCAATACCAAATACATTCCTATAGATTCTAGTTTCGACTTTCCTCCCCCCCCTAGGTTCATGGACCCTTCTACCACGGAGAATCCTTATATTCTGTATGTGAAGTTGACATAAACCACATACACGGTGGAGTAGCCTGTCTTCCTTCTTTCTTTATACACTTTATGCGAGGCTTTCTGGGCCATTTTTCGGTGGCATTGATGAAAAAAGTGAGTTTTGTTTACTTGAAAAGACCCCCTGATTATGGGCCTCAACACCCTGTTCAACGCGCTAGCAACGCCAAGGTCGGGTGGATGTCATGGAACTCACGACATTCGTTGAATCTGATTGGTGCTTATCCGAGCGGTCCCTAGTTATAAACCCAATATTTGGCCGAGCGGTGGATTTAAACATAAAAATGTAGCGAAGGGTGCCAATCGTTCGATTGTCATTGCGACTATTCAAGAAGGCATACCGATATTGCTTTTTCTAGAACAATTTCTTAAGATGGACCTGATTACCTATCAACATCTGATTAATAACCCCGCTTTTCTCCCATATGACGTCCTTGCTATAATCTGTGGGGAGCTGGTTACGCAAAGAGACTGCGAAACTTGGCACAGCTGTGTTGAAGCAGGCGGTTCTCTTGAATCTGCTGCTCTTCAGTGTGTCAGCTTCACTGATTTCGAGGATTTTATCTTCAATGTGCGAAACCCCAGCCAGGAAATTGCTCTCAAACTATTTGATGTCGTACATAAACGGCACAACCAAAGCGATAGAAATAATATCCTAGGTGACCAGTTTTGCAGTACGGCAAAAAGATGGCTCATACTTGCCGTGAAATACAAATTCAGGCGACTCAGCGAAGCGATAGTCCAGATTCATGGCATGAAAACATTATCAATTAAGGAAGCCATGGTCAAAGCAGCTGTTGTTGACTGGGATGATCTTTTCTGCGAATGGCTTCTACGTGAGGAAAACCGCCTTTGCTATGAGAGAGATCGTTACCTATTTGCGCAATATCTCGCCCGGTCGCTACGAGACAATCCGTTCTTGAAAATGTTCTATATCATAAAGATATCAAAAGTTATTCGGACCAATTCCGCACTGTTAAGTCGATGCCGCCGCATGTCAGCGGTTAACGATATCATCAGGCAGATGCAGGAAACAAGGGCCAATGACGAAAGTGCCAACATCATGTCGTTTGGAAGAGCCCTTGTGGATGTAAGAGTCATCCTTCCTTCATAATGAACCTACTGATAACACTCTATTAGCAACTTAGAGCCGGCTTTAGAGATCTGCAGCGCATGAACCAAAGAAGATCCTGAAAATCTTGGAGTATCATCTTTCATAGTGAAAGAGCAGGCCAGGGCCGCTACCCACGAGGACACTATATCACAAGCACAGGTCTCCAGAAAGAACTTAACAACGTTGAAATTTACACGATTTCAAACAGCCACCACAAAAGCCTTGTCAGATGATATAGGAAGATATACTAAAAAAATGAATAATACTCCCAGCAAAACATATCCAACAGCTGTATAAAAGATTATCATAGGAAGAAGTGAGTGTGTTGGTTTAATTCTAGATTAAGTATATAAGATTAACTAAATATCGTTACTAGATTAATATCACACAGATAAACTAGCATGTACATATATGAATAAGAAAACCGCCACGTTCAAACGTCCCGTCAGAGTCACTTTCGGGAAGACCAAAACCAAGTGGTTCAGCCAACACTGCGCAATGGCAGACTGCAATCGACCTAAACAAATCGTGTTTGGGAACAGCTTTACCACCAGGAAGGGCAAACTCCAGCTATGAAGCCGGAGGAAGAAGGCCAGAACGAGGAACAACAGCAGCGAGTGCCCCAGCAAACTCGAGCCTGGAATAACCGGCGGACAATCACCGATCATTGTTTAAGGCAAAGAGGAGGGAATACCGAGAGCACCTCTGGGTTTGTGCTTCCGCGATCAGAACGTGAGCGCCGGCGAATGGTCTCTCACCTAACGTTTCTGCCGACGATAATGGTATCATTGCAACACACCCGGTCTGCCTCACAGTCAAGGGTGTTCGAGCAGGAATAATGGATTAAAGGGTCCCGTGTGCGATTGGTATGGGTTACCGTGGGGCTCTTTTTCGCCTTCTCTCTTTCCCGTTTCTGATGCTGGCGACCTATATAGGTATATGGGAAATTTTCGCGTACAGCCCTAATGGCGCAGGCTAGTGAGAAGACGAGACTTACCAAGGACAGAAAACGAGCAAGTAGCACTGAGTTTCGTGGCGTTCCAAAGAAAACTGTGTGCAGATGGCTAGGAATCATGGGAAGTAGAGGAGACTGGCTTTGGATAGCAGATGGACTAATGAGACGTGTTGTATGCTTCTGAGGCTCGTCCGGAGTATAATGAGAGAGCGTAGATGAGGGCGGTTCCTTTATCTGCCTATTGATACTGTGGGTATGATGAAGCAACATCTAATAGACAGATTCTCTGAGCACACTGACACCTATACGGAGAGACATCACGTAGTATACAATTATCGATCGAGGGCATTGTCCTGACACTGGAAATCCATCAGTAAGCACAATGACATAGAAAATCAAGACAATACTCACCGTCTGCCCAACACATCTCGTTATCCCGTAGCAATTCCTGATGACTTTCCTGCTCCACGACCACAACCCATATCTGCTCGGGCTTACACCAAAGGCAAATACCATGTCAACTTTCAATGTAGTAGACAGTTTATGCGTAACTGCTACAGTCGTCATATATCCTCTCACTACCAAGCACCTGGGTACCGCCTGTACCATCTGTGAGGACTAGAGTGAAAATTCGATATCACTTCATCAAGTAGAGGAATGGTCTGCGTAGTAATGTCTATATAATACAGGGGCATTATCAGTCTTCCGCTCAGAAATGTCAGAGCCTCGATACCCAAATCGGGACTTAGTTTGACAGGGGGTGGGTGATGGGCATGTATGGAAAAGAATTCTGAGGGCCATGCAGCATATGCGCCCGTGACAGTCCTCGGAGAAAACAGTACAGCGGTAGTGACGCTGGTCAGCATCAGCGCGAGTCAAGGTCTGTCCATGGTGAGATGATGTCTTGTTGAGTCTAGGACTCCCAGTCATGGAGGGTGCCTTTCGGTTTCCTGGTCTGTGGCAACGGGGAAAGGCGGGCATTTACGGATTGCCCTTAGAAGGTGTCTTCGTTTCTGAGAGATACTTTAGAAGACCTCTGACAGAGATAGCATCAGATATGTACTGTAGCATTCATCATATTCACGTAGCGACGGCCTCAGAAAGCGGGCTTGTCCTCAGATGCGCTGTATAGAGACAGACATCCACCTAAGTGAAGGCTTGTCGGTGAAAATCCTGCGGGTTTAATGCGACTGCCGCGCGATGTGTTCATCTATCATCTATTAATCAAGCCACTTGACTAGCCACCGCCGCATATTGGATGGTTTCTCCTTGCCACCCGCAAATAACGGCTTTGGGGTTTGCCGCTCCTTTTCAGGCTCGCAACTAACATTAACAATCGAGCTAATACGTTGTATTCATTTCCTCTCTATATGGTAGTATAAGTAGTACTCTGGTCACCTAATCTATGGTTCATGATTTTAGTGGCATTTGCGCTTTTCAGATATGCAGTTAACTATAGCGACGATCATGCTGGGTGCTATATCTTTAGCCAGAGCCGATGTGGATGCGATGAATAATTCCCTCGTGAGTCTACTACGTTTGTTAGACCCCATTAGTTTCAGATGCTCGTGATCCTGTTCTTACCTGCTGGTGCGCAGAATATGTACGGACCAATACATCTTGAAGCCTGGGCGGAACCCAATTGCCAAGGTGGTGACACGGCTATTACGTTTACCGACAATTTTTATGGACGAAATTTATCAATCGCTTTGGTATCTCGCAGTTTCAAGCTCTCACGCGCTCTTCAAGGGGAAGAGCAACTAGATATTTCTGTGACGCACAATTTTGACACATGGTATGCGGACAAAGATCAATTTTCTATGAACGACTCTTCATGCCAGACCTTTGTTCAGACATACTATGCTGTAAATGGAAGTACAGCATGCCATAATACACCCAAGTTCACATGTCATCGGCTTTGGACAAATCCTGGTCTTTCCTGGTCTTATACAACCGAATAGGAAAAACAAGAAACTGATGTTGAAGTCTTTTATTGCTTCCTATCTCATCGCCAGTCTATCTGAGAGCGTGACTGCCTGAATTTATTCAAATCTATGTTGCATTGAACTATTTCGAGGCTTTGATGTACAAGGGAAGCTTGAAAGAATGTATTTGGCATTGCAAATGTAGATTTATAGTCCATACTCGTGCGATTCAATTATTTATATCCACTGAACCGATTGTCTAGTATTCTAGTCAAGTACATTATGCTCCCACTATAATCAAGTAATACTTTCGATGAGTAGAGACCTTTTGCGTGAAAATCAACTCAGTGGTTACTTTCTGTCGTTGCTTCAACGGATAGTCAGGCCGCATACTCTAATGACGCTTAACTTCTGCTTAAAGAAATCGACCTTCCCCATGGCCCAGGATGGAGAAAAATCTTATTGTCTTAGTTCTGTCCGTTCACTGCGCAATGATTTAGTGGGAATTTTAGGAAATAATCTCGAAAAATTACATACCTTGAACAACATTATAATAGCTACATCACCAGGTCGAACATCTAATATTGTCTTGGAAACCTTTCCTCCAAGGAGATATCACGGCCCTGTCTGAACTGGTAATCGGTTACTGAGACCTCGTTTACTGTATGGTGGCCGGAGTTGGTAATCTAAAACAGATTGGGGAACATGCCAAACCAAGTCACAATCTATTTCACTCACAACAGTAACAATTGGAGGAACTCTATGGAACAACGTAATATTGTAGCTGTAGATGTCTACCTCCTGAATATGAAATGGTATACAAACACAATTCATTAACTCCCGGCGGCTAAGCCGACAGGGCAACTATCACTGATCTACCCATACTAGTCCTAAAAGATGCCATGTCTCCTTAGAGCCCACACGTGTTTACTTTCAGTATATGTCATCTCAGCTGCCAATATTGCGGAGGATCCTCGTAGGTCAGTATTTTGATTAGTAGGCTGGCTTGAAGGTTTTCTTCAAGTGCTCAACATCCTATCATCAGCAGTTGAAGCGCTTCTAGCGAGTCTAGCACAAGTTTATTGGTGTGAGTTAGATCGGGAAGAGTGGTTGGGTTGTGTTCGGACCTAGTTGACTTGCTAAAGTGACGTCGAGTCGACCTGTTGCGATTGCAAAACGTATTGTAGTTCGTATTGCTTCGAGGTCTGGGGTGGCGCAACGTTGACTCGGTGGAGATACCCACTTACTCGTGCCATGCCGGTCCGGAGTTGGGCCAGCACGCTCGCTTCTTTCCATGACAGTCGATCGTACAGCTACCGGGTGTGTTTTCCTGAGAGGGCTGCATCCACTCGTCTGCCGTGTCTCCCTACACCATCTGACAAGACTTTCATGGTGACCGCTTGGGATCGTGCGAGGTTCAACGTGGTTGATTTCATTCTGGAGACCTGTGCTTGTGGGATAGCGTCCTCGTGGGTCGCGGCTCTGGCCTGCTCCTTAGCTAGGCCCAGCAGTTTGTTGTCTTCGCTGGTAGGGATCCAAAGAATCTTGATATGGTTTCCTTTTCTCCGCAGTCTGTTCATCAGCTTGTACGTCTGGCAGACAAACTCCTGGCCTGCCTGTTGTCGAGGTTTCTGTATCGTGAGGGCCGCCGCTTTGTTGCTTGTGAGCAGCCTGAGCCTGAAACCTTTCAGTCTCACCAGCCCGTTCAATGTATGAGCTATAGCCGCTAGCTCTGTGGAGAATGGATTTTGCTCTGATCTTGCGCCCAGTGTCATGGAAAAGGTCTTCAATTTCAGTTTTCGATATCGAGGTGGCTGCTTTTCGATTGCTACCCCAAATCCTACAAACCCGTCCCGTGCCGAGCTGCTGATCGCGATCTCTATTGATCCACCCGGTGCAGACTGCGGGTCCGGCATGGTTTCGCCATCAGTCTGCATACGTGTCTCCCATGGCGCTAATGTAAACGGGTTAATAGTCTCCAGTGTTTCCATATCAATGTTCTTCAGCGCGTCTGCCACCTGGTACAGCGGCGAACGGTGAAACCGTCTGAATTTCCTGATCCGAGCTGTAGTTCGGCGGAGCGGATTGGTATCCGGGAGCGTGTGGAGGTCCGTCCACATCTTCACGGCCCGCCTCCAAAAACGGTATTGCGCTGTGGCAATGTGAGCCTCTGCCTCCGCGACGCTGGTTGCAGCGGTAAGAAAGGTCCCGACGAATGCCTGCGCTCCCACCCTTTGGACTCGGTTGATCGGCCCCGTGGCCTTATTTTTGAATGCATGCATCCAGACATTAGACGCGTAGTCCACTACGGGAGCCACTGTCGATGTGAATAGCTGCCGCGCTGTTGATGGGGACAGACCTCGAAGTCGTCGAAGCTCCATCACTGCCTCAAGGCCTTTGGACGCTGCCCTTGCGATGTGTTCCTTATATTTGAGACTTGTGTCCATGAGGACGCCCAGAATCTTGACATGGTCTTTGGGTTCAACCGTTTGTCCCTTGATGGTGAAGGGCTCCCGGTCCAATTTGTAAGCCTTGGGGGTGAAGTGTGTGATGGCTGTTTTCTCGGCTTCAAAAGTTGCCCCACTTCGTCTTTCCCAGTCAAGCGCTTCTTTAATGATTCCCTCAATACCTTCCCGGTTGCTCTGCGCACTTGGTCCGGTCACCCACGCGGTAAAATCATCTACGAACGCAATCGCACCTCCCTTGCTGTCGATTTGTCGTTGTACGAGGTCTGCCTTGAAGAAGAGGAACAGGATTGGGGATAGCGGCGAGCCTTGCGGCAGTCCAGCCTGTGGCAGGCTGTGGGTCTCAGACAGTTGCCCATTGATTTGGATGGTCGCCGTTCGTTCCGAGCAGAACGCCTCAACCCACCGGAAAAGATTCTCCGGTATGCCTCGCGCTTTCATTCTCTGAAGCAACCGTTCTTTGCACACTCCATTGTAGGCTCCCTTGACATCGAAGCTGATCAAGCTCACGACCCGTCGGCCGAGCCATGCCGCGTAGATTTGCTCTTGCAGGAGTACGAGTGCTTGCTCCGCGGACCGCTGCTTTCGGGCGCCGAAGTGGCTGGTCGGGAGCAACCCATAAGTCTCCACCGCGTGCGAGATCCTTTCTGCTACCACGGACTCCAGTATCTTGCCCAGCGTCGCGAGGAGTGAAATTGGTCTCCATGCTTTGGCAATGGTGTAATTATCTTTGTTCGGCTTTTTGAGCGGTATGATCTTCGCATGTCTCCACTGTCTTGGCAACGTGCCTTCTTCCAGCGACGCCTGGAAGAGATCCAGGACTCTGTACTTGACCGTGGGCCAGGTCATCTTCCAGACTATTGCTGGCAGACCGTCTTTGCCGGGTGCCTTCCAAGACTTTGCCGCCATCAGCTGTCGTTCGATCTCCTCCATCGTGATGGCAGGCATCTCAACTGGCGCTCTTTGTGGTCGAGTCCCTTCATCGTCAATATTGTCCGGCAGGGGCGGGAAGAATTTGATCAGCAATTCTTCTGCCTGCTCCGTGTGATCGCTGGTCGTGGTCCCATCCGCTCTGAGGAGCTGCGGGATCTTCCCGAACGCTGCGTCTTCTCCCGACTTCAGGTACCTAGCGGCTTTCCATATGTTATCATTGTCGGCAAGAAATTGATTCCGGTGCTTTTTCTTTTGGTTGCCGGATGGCATCATGGTATTGTTTTGCCGCGCCTCGGGCCATTGTCTCCAGGTAGGGTGCTTTTCGTCCCGCCCGTCGCTCGGACCGGGCGTGATTACTCCAGTATGTGTGTATGTGACGGAGCTGCGTTAAATCAGCGGTCCACCGCCGCACCGCGTGCGGCGATGGTTTCGACTTTGGTGTTAATGCATGCACCGCCTCCGAGACCGCCGACATGAGCCGGTCGGTTTTCTGCTGCACTGTGCCCTCCGCAGGAGTGGCGGCAAGAGTGTTCGCTATCCTGGCATCGATCTCTTTCCATGGATTTTTCAACAGAAGTCGTCCCTGATGCCTTGGGAGCGACCAGGGCGCATCAAAGACAGTCTCAATAGCGCAGTGGTCCGAGCCGTGCTCCGTCCCGAGTATATAGCACACTTAATCACGGAGTCTGTTAGGTTGTCCGAGGCCAGGACCAGGTCGATCGTCGACTCGCAGTCCCCGCTGTATCCTCCGCCATGCCATGTCTTTGTGCCTCGCTTGAGGAGACTGCTGAGAGCATATTCGTTCATGAGATCGATGATTGGATCCGCTTCGCCTTGTCTTCCCAAAGACATGTGGTCTCCTCCCCAGAGTTGGTCATGCCGGTTGAAGTCTCCCATAATCAAAATTTCCTCCACCACCACTCCCGTATCTCGCCGTACTCCCGTACTCCCGTGATCGCGTTGATTAAGTGTTTGCATGCGTCGTCCAAAGCTAAGGCATTGCCCCCTTCCACGTAAACAGATGCCGTGAAAATCAGTCGCTCGGGGAGCCTGATAACCGCTGCCGTTAGGTTCTGAGACTCTATTGGCACTTGTTCCGCCTCGACATCTTTGTTAATCCAGAGCATGCTTCAAATTGCCCACCTGCCTTCCCTCCAGGTAGAGGGAACCATCTTCGTCCATTTGTGGTGTCCCATCGGGGTGGTCAAGAGCCGGCCTTGAATCCTCCGCGCTTGGGGTTCCTGAATCGTTAACGCCACCGCGTTCTGAGTCTCTTCGTCATTCATTAAGCTCTCGTGCATTGCACCCTGTTTTCTCACATTCAGTTGAATGACTCGAAGAGACTTATTCATGATGTGATGGGTAGAGCTTCCGACAGTTTTTGCTGTACGATTCGTGAGGGCCTCCGCATGGAATGCACTTTGGAATCGTTTGATCGCAGCTACCGTGGTGATGGCCCTCCGCGGCACATTTTGCGCATCTCTGCGCGTTCTTGCGCTGGAACGCCTTATACCCGATCTCTTGGCAATTGTAGCATTGCATCGGTCGGGGTCGGTATTCAAAGGTGCTGGTCACGCCGGATTCTCCCCCAGCGTGAAAGAACCCATCGGCCAGGAGCCTCCGTGCATCACTGCCTTTGGTCAGATAAACGACCATTGACCCATAGGCCTTCGTATTCTCCTTTCTGCTGAGCCATGCAATCTTAGCGATGGAAA